TAGGCTCTTCTCCAGGGAGTCCTTCCTTCTCATGAGGTGGCCAAAGGATTTGAGTTTCCTCTTTAGGATCTGGCCTTCTAAAGAGCAGTCAAGGGTTGATCTCCTCTAGGACTGGCCGGTTGGATCACCTTGCAGTCCAAGGGACTCACAGGAGTCTTCTCAAAGGCATTTTGAACAAACATTTCAGTAATACATGTTTAATGCTGAGAGGGGTATAGCAATATCCGTATCGCTCTTCTGTTCGGTGTCAGCATGACTATTTCATGTTTAGAGACTCAGAGCACTTGATGGAGAGTACTCATTAGAGGACTTTTTCGGAATCCTCACCCCACGTCTATGCTAAATAGAGTGGTAGATGAGATGGCTTTGTGTGATTGGTTCACCGACTCTTCAATGCCCTTTTGTTTCTAAATGGCTGTGATCTTTATATTTTGTCTAATAAATAAACATCCATGCCAGAGCGGGGATGTTTTTAAATGTCAGTTTCTGTGCTTAGTTACCAAATTTGATCGTTTGCAAAAAGACTTAGGTGGGGGAAGGAAGAAAGCAGAGAAGAAGGAAGGAAGAAGGAAGGAAGGAAGGAAGGAAGGAAGGAAGGAAGGGAGAGAGGGAGGGAGAAAGGGAGGGAGGGAGGAGGGAGAAAGGGAGAGAGGAAAGAAGGAGGGAAGGGAGACGAAGGAAGGAAGGAAGGAAAGAAGGGAGGGAGAGAGGGAGGGAGGAGGGAGAAAGGGAGAGAGAAAAGAAGGAGGGAAGGGAGAGGAAGGAAGGAAGGAGGGAAAGAAGGGAGGGAGAGAGGGAGGGAGAAAGGGAGGGAGGGAAGAGGGAGAAAGGGAGAGAGGAAAGAAGGAGGGAAGGGAGAGGAAGGAAGGAAGGAAGGGAGAGAGGAGGGAAGGAAAGAAGGAAGGAAGGAAGGAAGGAAGGAAGGAAGGAAGGAAGGAAGGAAGGAAGGAATCACATCCTCTGATGAACAATTCATGGTTGATCATCTTTGTTAATTTGATGGTTCAAATTTTCTGGGATAATATGAACAGAACCAACTCATTTTATCAAGAATTATGCCAATGGAAGGCAAGGCAGAATAACAGAGATGGAAAGGACATTGGGGGTCATTTAGTCCAATCTAAGCAGGAGGACCTATGGCTGTCCAAACTCTTCTTAAAATCCTCCAGTGATGGAGCATCCACAACTTCTGAAGGCAAGCTGTTCCAGTGGTTTATTGTTCTCACTGTCAGGAAACTTCTCCTAAGTTCTAGGTTGCTTCTCTCCTTGATTAGTTTCCATCCATTGCTTCTTGTCTTGCCTTCAGGTCCTTTGGAGACTAGGTAGATCCTGTCTTCTTTGTGGCAACCCCTGAAATATTAGAAGACTGCTATCATATCACATTCCCCAAAATGGAACGTAAATCGTCTCTAGGGGGTTTCTGATCAGAGCTGTTTGTTTAATATGGCATTGTCTTTAGCAAAGGGGAGGACTCTTACGCTGCTTGTAATTCAAACGCATTGTTGCTGGAGAGCTGTTCTTGGGTTCCGTCGGTTAAAAAAAGAAAGTTGGCAATTAGCCCTCCTGAAGCCTCAGTTAGTGTCCTTATTCTGTTGCTATTTATGGAGTCCCGGTGATTTTTGATGACTTAGAACTGGGATACTATTAGCAAATGACTTTGCTTCAAAAATACGGAACAATTTGTATGGCTGTCAATAGCATTAATGCTTGCCTGCCTGCTTGAGTGTGTATCTGTGTACATATATAGAACTCAACTAATACTATTCCAAATTTGTCCTGTCTAAGCCTATTAAAGATCATGAATTTTGGAAGGCTCGCGTGGCCTGGTTCTCCTCTCCCTCTCCCGCCCCAGCTGGGCTGCCAAGCCACAAAGGTTGGGGACCAGTGCCTTATGGCACAAAGACAGTTGTGTTATGTTGACTTGTAAAACTTTAGTAAGACCCCACCTGGAATACTGCATCCAGTTTTATTTATTTATTTATTTATTTATTGGTTCAATTTATATGCCGCCCTTCTCCGGAGACTTAGGGCGGCTTACAATGCGTTAAGCAATAGCCTTCATACTTTTGTATATACCTGCTTAGTAGGGCTTTCGGCCACCCCCTAAGCGGTGTTCTTTTTTATACAAAGTCAGCTTATTGCCCCCACAATCCGGGTCCTCATTTTACCTACCTCGAAAGGATGGAAGGCTGAGTCAACCTTGAGCCTGGTGAGATTCGAACTTGCAGTAATTGCAGGCAGCTGGTGTTACTGAACAGCACTTTAATCTGCTGCGCCACCAAGGCACCACAGTTTTGGTCATCACATTACAAAAAAGATGTTGACTGAGACTTTACGACAGGGTTCCCCAATCTAGTATGGGCCATGGCCTATTCTCAACCGGGCCACATGGAAGTAGTGCAAAGAAGAGCAACTAAGATGATTAAGGGGCTGGAGGCAAAAACGTATGAAGAACGGTTGCAGGATTTGGGTTTGGCTAGTCTAGAGAGAAGAAAGACTAAGGATGACATGATAGCAGCGTTCCAATCAGGGGTGAAATCCAGCAGGTTCTGATAGGTTCTAGAGAACTGGTAGTGGAAATTTTGAGCAGTTCAGAGAACCAGTAGCAGAAATTTTGAGTAGTTTGAAGAACCAGCAAATACCACTTCTGGTTGGCCCCAGAGTGGGGTGGGAATGGAGATTTTGCAATATCCTTCCCCCAGGAGTGGGGAGAGAATGGGGATTTTGCAGTATCCTTCCCCCGGAGTGGGGAGAGAATGGGGATTTTGCAATATCCTTCCCCCGGAGTGGGGAGAGAATGGGGATTTTGCAGTATCCTTCCCCCGGAGTGGGGAGAGAATGGGGATTTTGCAGTATCCTTCCCCTGGAGTGGGGTGGGAATGAAGATTTTGCAGTATCCTTCCCCTGCTATGCCCATCAAGCCACGCCCACCAACAGAACTGGTGGTAAAAAAAAAATTGGATTTCACCACTGGTTCCAATATATGAGGGGCTGCCACAAAGAATAGGGGGTCAACTTATTTTCCAAAGCCCTTGAAGGCAAGACAAGAAACAATGGATGGAAACTAATCAAGGAGAGAAGCAACCTCGGATTAAGGAGAAATGTCCTAACAGTGAGGACTGATTAACCAATGGAACAACTTGCCTTTTGTTCTGCCCCAGCTCTGGATTCCCAAGGATTGTGACACACACCAATGGTCTTTATCAAAGTTATAATGTACCAAGAATAAACAAAGTCCGGCAAAGGTTGGCAACCAGCCCAGAAAACAAGATACGATAAGACACTCACTCTCCAAAATGCTCTGTAATAATTACATGTTGTTTCCAGCAAGAAATTACTAACTGCGTGCGACTTAAATAGGCCAAGGGAGTGGCCAATTATCCTCAAACCTTACTCTCAAGGAGACCTCCTCCTCCTGAGTAGCCACTCCTGTCTTTTGGCAGCCCTGTGTGCTTGAGCATTGAGGAGAGGCTCCTCCACTTCGCTCTCTCCACTTGAAGGAGCCTCTGGAGGTTCTGAAGGCCCTGGCTGAATCTCTGCCTCTGGCACCACATCCTCTTCAGCCGTCCTCGCTGTCCGATGTGAGTGCCGGCTGCGCAGGCTGCTGGTGCAACCCCACACCAGCCTCCTCGTCGTTGGGATCAGCCATGATCCGCGCAGGCCGCTGGCGGGCCACAACACCTTCAGAAGCTGTGGGTGCTTCCTCACTGGAGCCTGAAACATCTTCCCTGTGATTTTCACCCATTCTGGTACTCCCCAAGGAAATAGAAACTGGGTCCAGTCCATCTTCGGCATGACAGCCATTCCAATATTTGAAGACTGGTAGCACATCTCTTTTTGGTTGCCTAGTCAGTTGGGTAAACATACCGAGATCCTCCAACCATCCTTCGTACATGTTGTTAGCTTCCATCCTTTCATTTCCAGTAGTGGTGGAGCTCAACTTGGGAGCTTGGTAACCACTGGAGAAGACAAGCTAAAGCACTCATGAGATCCCATTAAGCATCCCACGTTTGGTTGACCCATTGGTTGATGAGATGTTGATTTAGACCAGTGAACTTGGCAACATGGCTGGCTGAGGAATTCTGGGAATTGAAGTCCACAAGTCTTAAAGTTGCCAGGTTTGGAGACCCCTGATTTAGACCTTAGATCTCCAGCCATCAGAGGACACTAATTCAAAAGCCATGAGGAGATCAGAAGGATTCCTTCTGATCTCCACAACAAAGAGTAAAAAATAGACAGATGCTTGAAAGTAGCAGTATTTTTAAGATGGATACTGGTGTACTCTTTCTTTCACAGCTGTCGTTCCCTTTTTCGTGGTGCTTGATGCATCACTGTGTAATCTTGTGCATATTCTTTTGCCACCTGTTACTAGAGTAGGCATAATTTCTAATTAAACACAATTATTTGTTGAGTGATATATTTCTTTGCTCTCTTTCTCTCTCCCTTTCGTATTTTATATTTCAACGCCAGTCACTCTATCGTGAATTTGTCAAATCTTCAGTCCCAGAAGATTATCTTTGAAAAATGTGGAAGCGCAGACATACCTACTTCAATTTCAGCTTCAGGAGCACAACAGATTCCTGCAGCTGGGCTTCTGAGCATCTTAATTCCACGTGAATCCTGATACGATTGGGCTTGTTCAGCAATTCCTACATTTATGTGACAATCCCAAATTTAGTGGTGTCTTTAGGTTGCCAGATCAGAACAAAATTCTATTGAGCTTTATGGGACTGGAAAGCTTGACATGGTAGTTACTGTCTTGTCTTTTCCCATTTGCTGAATTTTCTGTTGAAGTTCTCCCTTCCCAGAATTTATTAAAGTTCGTTTTGGCAAAAATGCTTTTCAAATTCCATATGGGAGGGAGGGAGGGAAGGAAGAAAGGAAGGAAGGAAGGAAAGAAAGAAGGAAGGAAGGGCTAGAGCATGATGAAGGGAGGGAGAGAGGGAGGATGGGAAGATGGGTTCTCACTGTCTGGAAATTTCTCTTTCGTTCTAAGTTGCTTCTCTCCTTGAATCCTGAGATAAAAGATATTTTTCCCCCCTCCTCTGTCTCTTCATCCAAATTTCTCAGGACAATTGGGAGGCTCGAGTCTGCCACAGTGTTCTCCAGCAAGGCAACATTACTTTCTTCATATCTGGAAGGGGTGCTTCTTCTGCCATTTGTTTGCTATAGTACTCCCGATTAGCAGTAGCACTTTTTATTGCTTTTTCCAAAATTTCTTTTTCTCCTAAACGCAATTTAATAGCCATAGTTGCGTTACGGGTAAGGTCTTGTGTTTCCAAAATGAATTTGTCATCCTACGGAAACAAGTGGAATAACAAACATGAAGCTGTTAGCTCAACCTTAAGCACAAAACCAGACACCAGGTTTACATAGCAATGGCATCAAGTGGAGACCGTTCTTCTTTATGGTTTGGAGAAAAAAGTAGATCCCTGCTTCAAGAACCTTACCATCCCAAAAGTGGACCTTTGGAAAATACAACTGAATATGGTGATTGTCTTGATTGTTTAGACTGTATTGCAATTAGGAATGAACAAGGGGAAGTCATATAAGACAGAATATAAAGATACATTGTTCCAAGTGTTCTGGACAAGTGATAATCAGTACAGTGTTTAACAAAAGAAGATAACATTCAGAATCTTGGGAGTTAGCAGAGGTTTAAAAAAATGAATGTTTGGAATGCAAAAGATGTGTTTCTATGTGCCTGGAGGAAAGCTTCAGGGTAATAGCAATAGTACTTAGACTTATATACCCTTCACAGTGCTTTACAGCCCTCTCTAAGTGGTTTCCAGAGTCAGCATATTGCCCCCAACAATCTGGGTCCTTATTTTACCCACATCGGAAGGATGAAAGGCTGAGTCAACCTTGAGACATTCAGAATTGAACTCCTGGAGTGAGCAGTGAGTTAGCCTGCGATACTGCATTCTAACCATGGCACCACCACGGTTCTGAATGGGTCTGAAAAGTGGCCATCGAGCATATATTTTCAGAACTTTCCCTGTCCCTGTCATCCAGCAATGTGAAAGAAGCAGTAAAAGACCCCAAATTTCAAACGTAGCTTGTAAAGGGGCTGGGTCATATTGTCATGAAGAGTCATGCACAGAAACCTAGCTTCTGTCCCCTTAATTATGATTCAAACCAATTCAGAATCTCTTTTTTATAATTTAAAATGTTAAGAAACCATTGTATTTTGCAACATCTCCCTTACATGAAAATACATATTTAAAAATAACTTAGGTACATAAGAAGAAAAGCAATAGTAGTTTCTGGAAAAGTAAAGAACCAAAAGAATGCAAAGCTTTTAAAACGCACATCACTGATATTTGGAATTAAATCTAATAAACTGTGAAGTTTATAAATATATATTTCAAGCTTTTTAAAGTCTTACTTGAACAGTAGTCTTGTAGGTTTTCAAGAGAAGAGATGCCCTGGCTTCCAGGAAAGTCCAGAGTTTCACCTCATTGTCCCAGCTCACTGGAAATTCTGAATTACCAAGGGTGAAGATTCTGTCAATAGTATGCTCCCCTATCAAGTGTTCTTTCAGCTCATCTACAAAGGATAAAATACCGTCAGCAAATGCTTCACTTATTCTGGCCATCATCCAGGTTAATAATTGACCATTAGTAAAGAATCTGTATTCAAGGTTGATGTTCTAAAATAAAACAATTCACATTTTGCCTTTATTACAAGACCAAACAACATGTATTAGATCAAGGGCTTCCCCATGCTTTTGTGGATGAAGCTGCTTTCCTCTCTTGTTTTATTATTCCTCATTTTTATTTCATTCTATTATTTAAAAGATTTATTAATTTGCTACTTTAAGATTTATAAAGTGTTGGGGTTGGGGGGGGGCAGATTGGTAAGAGAATTCCTTGCAAGTAAAGTGCAGGCTTTTCCTTTATCAGTAGAGGGAGCAATGATACCGAGACTCTTTTTTTCAGGGTTACATGGAAAATATTTTTCTCTTTTTTTTAGGAAAACAAGCAAGTGAAAGAATAATTTCATTTTGTGCCTTAAAATTTCTCATTCAGAAGAAATGCTGCAATAGAATGGGGATTTTTTTTTAAAAGAGATTCAATGCCTCTAGAGATCTTAAGCCATTTCAGCTTCCAAGTCTAAAAAATTGCAGAAAAAAAATCTGTTCCACTGAGTTTATGTGACAAACCTAAGCTAAGTCTGTGAAGCCTATTTGAAAGAGATGTGAATTATGTCTTGTTTTCTTATCTGCCTCCCCTGCATCCTAAAGTCAAACTGTCACAATTTAGTGGCAAAATAACTAACTGGGGGGCATGTTTAGTTTACTTACAATCAAAGACCAAAATATTAAATAAAGCACAGTCAGATAAAATCAAACCAAAGAAAAGAACAAAAGAGGAAATTAACAGAATTGTAAACCACCCTAGAAGACAAAAATCAGCCAAAGGTAAATCCAAAGCCTATTTATACTTCTCAAACAAAATTAAGTGATTGCTCTAGATCAGGGTTATCAAACTCAGTTTCATTGAGGGCCACATCAGGGCTGTGGTTAACCTTGGGTACTGGCCGGCCGTGGCAGACTCGGTGGGTGGGGCCAACTGGGTGGGTGTGGCCAGCTTGATGCCACTCCCCAAACTGCTGGCATGTTTCCTCTTTGCATTGGGTAGACTGGACCAAAGGGACGCGGGTAGACTGGGCTGAAGCAACATGGGCCAGCCCTTTACATTTTCCAGGACAGCCCCATGGGCCGGATGCAGCCTGCGGGCCATGAGTTTGAACACCCCCGCTCTAGATATTTCTGTAGGTCTGTCTGCTAACAAATATAGAATATTTGCCTCATCAGAACATCCCAGGCAGGAAGTTACTAATTCATAGCACTATATTTGATAAAAGGGATAGAGAGCAGATAACAACAAAAAAGTGTAAGATTAACTTGACTATCCCATTGAGAGAACAGCATAGAGGGCAACATACAGTGGAATTTCCCCCCCCAAGACCATTAAAGACAAAATGTTGAGTCCAACTAATGAACAGTTATGTACTTCTATATGGAAAAAAATGTATTATAGATGCAATTAAGTAAAGAAAAAGATCTATCATAGAAGCTGCTATTGCTGTAGTAAATAAGGGATTTTGCTTCTGACTCTACAAATCTGGGTTAAAATAGTTTAATATCTAGGATGGCTCTCTTAAACCCTGGCATGGTCAAAAATTAAGATGATAACCCACAATAATTCAGATATGAGGGAGACGCAAACAATGAGATGGAAAAATTAAATAAACGATAAAAAACAAAACAACAAAGAATTCACCAATATTATAACAAAAAGATGGATGAGTGGAAAGCAGAGAGCAAGGAGGAGAGGTGGGGTCTGCCACCAATCCAGCAGCCACCTCCATATTCAAATCTCAGTAGCTGAAAAATAGGGCTAAAAGCTATTCAAGCTATCTTCTAGATTTTAAAGTAGATCTGTTAATTATAATCCAACCAATTATTAAATAAAATTTAATATCAAACAATTAGGAGGCCTATGTATAGGCATATACATAGGGTTTTGGTTATCACCTTTAAAGCGCTCCATGGCATAGGGCCTAGCTATCTTCAAGACCGCCTGCTGCCACCGACAACCTCCCATCGACCCGTGCGCTCCCACAGAGAGGGCCTCCTCGGGGTGCCATCAGCCAAACAGTGCAGGCTGGTGACCCCCAGGGGGAGGGCCTTCTCTGTGGGGGCACCTACCCTCTGGAATCAATTGCCCCCAGAGATAAGGAGAATCCAAGACCTCAGTGCCTTCCGCCGTGCCCTTAAAACCTTCCTTTTCCAGCAAGCCGGGCTGGCCTAATTTTTTTTAAGTGTTTTTAATTGTTTTGTTTATTGTTTTTAATTAATGTACTTTTATAATTTATATATACTTTTAATTGTATTTTAATATTTGTACTTGATGTTTTTACTTGGCTGTTCACCGCCCTGAGTCCTCAGGGAGAAGGGCGGTATACAAATTCAAAATAAAATAAAATAAAATAAAAAAATATGGGAGCTTTTGTAAGCAGACAATTATTTTATTTTGCTTTAATGGGCTATTAAACTACAGTGGCCTAATAATATTTCTTTTTAAAAAGATGCTTGAAGGGTAAGCCTCTCTTAATCCTATTTTTATTATCACTTAATAAAACAAATCAGATGCTAGTGCTTATAAAGTTCTTTTTTTACCTTCAGTCATACAAAATACTCTAAGAAAAGCCAGTAGTTGAGCAGAGATTGGAGGTTCCGTTGAATGCAAAGCAAAAACACTGGAACTAATAAAATAAAGAATGAGTCAGTCTGTGATGATTATTTAATATAAAAAGCCTTAATTTATAATATAGTATTACTCTTATAATGAGGATTACAAGGGATCAACTCAATTTCAGATCATTAAACAAGCTATTCTAAACTCTTCCACATATAAGTTACACAATTTCTTTTCCAGAATGTTAGTTATTTTATGTAACTTCATAGTTAACATTTATGCATGCCTCAAGTTGTTCCAAGTTGAATTTCCAATCTACACTATGAGTTATAACATGCTATCACTAACCACCAATCATATAGAATAAATCCTATTCAATTTATTTGGGGATCCAAATATAGGCAAAAATAGCCCCCTAAAAAACAAATATACAATGTTTGCATAGCACACAATAATCTGCTCAAACATGAAGAATATTGGCAGCACTACTCTTAAAAATAATACCATGATTGCATCATATTTCTACTGAAGAGAAGTAAATAGTAAAATGGGCAAACTTGGCCATGTCCCATACCCTCAGATAATTTATTTGTGCATAGATGTATAAATAAAATGTATAATAAGTAAACATGGCATAATATGCAATGTAAGATAAATTATATGATGGCTATTTTAGCATCTATCAACAATATCTGAAAGTTCATTAATCAATGATCTACTGGGTTTTCAAGCTTACAATACTTTAAGATAAAAGCAGTCTCTTTAAATTTTACTTACGTTGGGATTCCAGCACGAGCTAAGACTTCTGCCTTCATAGCATACAGCCTGTCACTTTTACTTACTCCAAGCTTTATTTTCACTCTGTCATGTGAATTATTATCAAAGAAAAATCCACTGTGGATCACAAATTCAGCATTTGACCGAGTGCCATAAAAAATGTAAATCTAAAAAGATGAAAAGAGAAGAAACAGAAAAACAGCTTAGCATCAAATTTTCGAATGACAATTGACACTTTAGACAAATAACCTCCCTGCCCCAAACTACAGTACAAAAGAGCACAAATGAGTAAAAATACTGTATTTCAACAAAGTACAACACAAATTTTCCATAAATTGCTTGCACTCAACATTTCACATTGCTCAAAGTCTCAATATATTTCTGCACTGGATTAATACATATAGATCATTAATGCTCAATTGATTCTCTTTTGAACTGCAAGCAATGCTGGAATTTGTTACATGTAAGGATAGTCTTTTTCTGACTGCTGAATATGAGCTGATAAGAAATGTGTTATAAGATAATCAAATAATGGATTAATGAGAAACAACGGCTTACTGCTTTGAACAAATACAAATACTGTATATTGTGAAGAGAGAAGTACAACGTTCTTGAAGTTTCAGATATGCAATATAATATTTACTTCCCTTAATATACATTGTAGCTATCATGACAGCCCTTTATAATAAATTCTAAAGAACTCATTCTCTCCTGAAGTAACATAACAAAGAAGCATGTATGGGCTTGCATAAATGGCCAGAAAGAGCATGAATATTCAGAAATAAGGATAGCAGATATACTAGAGAAAGAAAAGGGAAAATTTTGGATGCAAAATGCAAAAATTACTTGAAGAGGGGGGATGCAAGCATTATGGTGAAATAATGGGATTTCTTGAAACTATAAATGCAAAACCATGCCCAAAGGAAGAGAAAAATATTGTTTTTATTCAAGTACTTTTTTTTCAAAAACAAAGAGGAAGAGATGTCAAATAACCACTACAACATAGTAGTGTAAAAATATAAGCAGTTAATGAAACTTAAGAGGAGATAGAACCTAAGAAAACATGGGTACTAAGTGTCTCTGGAAAAGTGAACTCACCACCTGGAGTGAGCAGATATTTTTTCCTTCTGGGATCCAGAGTTTTGGGGTTGCCAGGAAAGAAGCAGCTCCACACTCTCTTTAATTGGAGAGTTTGTCTCATAAAACGAAAACAAGTGTTTATAGGGGGTGGCAAGAAATGATCAAGCCAGGAAGACAGTAGAGACTAGGGAAAGAGAAACTTTCAATCTGAAGGCAAGCACTTTAGCTGTTGTCTTCAGACAGCAAAAGAAAACTTCCATTCTTGGAACTGAAAAACAGCTGAAAGGCTGAAGGAAAAGAGTCTGCAAACCCAAAGTAAACCGGTGATGAGATGGGGTGGGGTAGGGTGAGAAAGAGAGAAAAGTCCATTTGCAAGAAAGACTACAGATGATCTGATCTCTGTCAAATATGAAAGGCTAACTCAAATGGCTTACCCTACAAATATCTTATCATGGGCATCACTGCTTCTCTTGCCTGCAAGAACTTCAATCATTCTGAAATGTTTTTTGTACTATCTCTGAAGACTATCAAAGTCATCTGATAAGTTCCTCGTGATCCCTGGACATCCCGCCCAAGGAATGTGTTAATTATGTGATTATTTACTCTTCAGAAATTGTTCTAATTTTTCAAGTGCAAAGCTGGAGCCAGCCCAGATTTGGGTGCCATACACTGTGACTGTACATCTGGGCAACATGGCAGGCAGGGGTTAAGTCCCCTCCTCTTTCTTCCCTAGTGGTTATGATGATTCAAATCCCTAGTATAGGTCTCCTGCGTGAGAAGGGGGTTGGACTAGATGACCTCCAAGGTCCCTTCCAACTCTGTTATAATTATTATGTTCCGATACTCTGTTCCAAAAGCAGGAGAAGAAATGTCTGTTTTTAGAGTTAGGAAACAAGTTAACTTCCCATTTTTCTGAGCTATGCTGGGATAGTTTCTGGATGTAATATTTACTCACCCTGCACTAGATTTTGCAAATTCAGGCAGCCTGCTAATATGCTCATTGATCTCTTTATGAATTCTGCCATAAGGGAGAAAGTATTTTCATTCAGATGATTAGACACGTGGCTTCATTATGAAGCCCTCTGGACCAGGGATGGGTTCTACTTACCTCCGCTACCGGTTTGCAACGGGACTTTCTGCGCATGCGCAGATCATCCATGATGACGTCCGGCAGGTTGGGCGGAATCTCCAGCTGCTGTTACTACCGGTTTGCAAGAACCGGACTGAACTGGGAGCAACCCACCACTGCTCTGGACCAATTTCTCTTTTGGTGATTCATGTAAACTTTGTTGAGATGCCTGCTCGTGTTAGCACGTCATCACTTGAGCTGCTGATCCAGGATGCTTACAGCTAGTTAAAATAATCTTATACATATATTGTCCATAATGGAACCCTAATCAGATCATGTCATTATGCATATGTATCTATTGCTATCATCTGTAAATGTCCCAGCACTATAGCCACAATTTTGGTGAAAACTCAGGGACCAATGCTAGTTGAAAGGAATTCCTTTGAACTAACAGTGGCTGTAAGTAGTAGTAGTTAAATATGAGAAATATCTTTACATACTAACTTGATAATGAAAGAAAGTTTCCAATAAGTCCATTGGTGCCAAGAGGTCATCTGGTATAAGGCTTGTGCTATTGACTTCAGTGTTTCCACCTTCTTTATTTGATAAAGCTGTTCTCCAATCCACTTATTTGGCTACTGGAGATGATCCATGAAAGAATCTATCATTAATTCAGATGATCTTGCCAGCACATTCAGGTATTTAGGTTCTGAATGTATCTCTCAGAACAAATATGCAGAACGTTTAGGTTCTAATAGTATCTCTCAGAACAAAGACCAACTCTAAAGCAGAAACTGCTGCTACTTCTTTTGCTAAAAGAATTGCTTCAGCATTTTTTTCCCTTGCTCCTCACCTAGGTGTTTGAGAAAGTCCCTCTTAAGAAGTAGATACAACTGTCCTGAATATACTGTTGTGATGGAATAGTTACAGATTACTGCTTAAATTTGTTCCTTTCATTCCTTTCTGACTAGTTTAGAGATGAATTGTAAGAATAGCACTTCCTGCCTACAAAGTGCTTTCTCTGGAAATTCTGTGCGCCTCAGGGAATAAGTTACTAGAAGTTTAAGAATTCCTAAAGATTTATACAGAGGTGCCAGATAAAACTGGTCCAAGAGCTTGTATCATGGCATATAGCCCAGGGAGTATCGCCCCCTGATAATTTGCCTCCTCCCTCTGAAATTCTATTGTCATTAGGATATTTGTAATTACATCATTGATTCTGTCCTATGAGATCCCAGGAGTAAGGTGACATTCTTAAGGTAATTCACTTTGGAATTTAGAGAAGCTGAGATTGCAGCTGTGGATGATTGTCATGTAGTTGTCATTTAAATTGCAGACAAGGCTCTACCTCCACTTCTTCTGTCTATACTTCTTACAGCAGTTGTGTCTCTCTCATTCCTTCCTTCTGCCCTTGTGGACATGACCTGAGGTGCAGAAGCATCAGCAGCAAAAGAGGAAGAAGGAAAGAGGGGAAAAATAGCAGGAAGGAAAGATATCTGAAGTAGTGAAGGATCTAGTGACAAAGTCAGAACCCTTTAAGTAGATGCTCATTTCATGAGATGATTTGAGAGAAAACTTGGTGGTTTGTGACACTCACAATACTGAGTAATGTTTTATCACGATGTTTTAATAAGCCTATTATATTCTTATATACCTAAGCTTAATAAACATCTCCTCATACTACTTTGCCAAGAAATCCATGAATTAATAGTCAACATGTATTCCTGAATGTTATGAATCTAAGAACTACTACAGCTGCATGACTAAAACAGATACTGATCTGTGTTATGTGTTATACATTCTCCTTTGGAGAATGAATCCTGACAGTTGAATTGCTTACATTATTTTATTTCTCATAGCACTATTTCTGCTTCAAGTCAGAAAAACTTCCCACTCAAAATGTTTTTATTTACTAAATACCCATTCATTTGCCTTGACTTTTTTCCCTTTCAAAGTAGCTAGACATATGTTTCTACATTAAAAATGTAAATATTTAACCATCTGGACATAAACATAAGTACACAAAGTTACCTGTTCACCAGCTTTAAAATCTTGAAGTGCCACACATTCACAACGATCATCTTTTAAATTGTAGCCTGTAGTAATCTAGATCATGGATTAAAAAAGATATAGAAAATTCTTAACATTTTAGGATTTACTGTATTTTTTAATTTAATTTTTATTGTAGTAAACAAAACATCAGAAAAACTGGAGAATTCAGTATAAAAGTTAGCAAAGCACAGAAACAAATAGGATGCATATTATTTTTTTTGATAAATCTGCTTTTTCTTCAAAAACATAAAATCACATAAAATCTTTCAAAAATACCTACCTTTTGCCAAAAAAAATAGTATATAATTCTATCCATATTATCTTTATAACAAAGAGCACACCATTTCTACAGAAAAAATTAAAAATTAAAAGTAAAAGTTCAAATAATTAACTGTACATAAAGAAATGTATTTCAGAATCTACCGTTGTGTATTGCTAATAAAAAAAAACAAAGAAGACAAAATGAAGGCTTATTTTATTAAACTATGGTATATTAAGCATCTTCTCTAACATCTTGACATTTTCTTTCCAATAGAAAGGCTATTAATAAAGGTGTAATGGCAATTAAAGGCCTGGTGGCTCAGCAGACTAATAGCATTGTGATTAACACCAGCTGTCTGCAATTACTGTAAGTTCGAATCTCACCAGGCTCAAGCTTGACTCAGCCTTCCATCCTTTCTAAGGTAGGTAAATTGAGGACCCAGTTTGTGGGGGCAATAAGATGACTTTGTATAAATATACAAAAGTACGAAGGCTATTGCTTAACACATTGTAAGCCGCCCTGAGTCTCCGGAGAAGGGCGACATATAAATCAAATTTAAAAAAAAAAATTATTTTCATCAAGATGATGCAGAGGAGAATTGGGAAACGGCTATTCTGCTGAGAGGATATCTTTGACTTTCTCATTCTAAACTATTTTCATTTCTGCTTGCAATTATGGAAAATCCTACGTTGAGTTGGAGAATTAGAGTCCTTTAGTATATTTTCCTTTCTCTTCTACCTTTCTTTTTTGCTTTTTATGTCATGTCTTTAATTAGTATAAAGCTGTGGGAAGAGGACAGTATTTTATCCTGAAAGAGAGGTTACAAATCTTTACTGATAAATCAATAAAAGAATGTATGTAATCTTCCTTGTATGCATTTTTAGTTGACAAGCATGACAAAATAAAAAATAAATGCTATAATTCTTAATCCTTCGAAGTGTGTTTCATAGAATTTAGCAGCAGTAAAAATATTAGACATGTATCACTGAGCTTCGCAATAACTAGGACAGTGATGGCTAACCTTTTCTGGACTGAGTGCCCAAAGTGGCAGCCCCCCCAAAATGCAATGCGCGTGCACCCCACTCCCCACATGCGCCCCCCTGCACATGGCCCACCCCCCACGCATGTGCGGCAGAGACCAGATGACCATCTGGCCGGCGGGAGGCAGGCGCGCATGCGCAGCAGAGCTGAACTGGGTGACCCCTTGCGTACCCACAGAGAGGGCGCTGTGTGCCACTGTGGCACACATGCCATGGGTTCACCATCACGGAACTAGGAACTTCTATAAACAGTTACTTTATAGATTGTGATTTTCCATGTGATTTTGGTAAGCGAAATGGAAAAAAAAAACAATTTTGTATATAAGTTATCTATCTTTTCAGAAAATGAAAATAGGTTACCTCTTGTCTCCAAATGACTGGTAATGTCAATTAATTTTCTGTCATGGCAACTGCCCTATGGATCCCAAGTGGTCTGAAGTCACTTGGCCTTAACTGACTGAACTCCTAGACATGGAAGTTATAATGTCATTTGGAGTCCATAAATGGTTGTATTAATTAATGGTATTCCTTGTATCTACTGATTTTAATTGTAACTAGCCACCCAAAGTCACTTGCTTGAGATAGATGGTCATAAACATAGAAATAAATAATTGCCAAAAGGATACAAATTAATGAATAATAAATGTGGTGTCTCAGATATACAACTTAGACAAGACACCTCTTCCAAAAGCCTGCCAACCTTCCATTCTAAGCAAGGTCGGGAACCAGGAAGCCCTAGGACAGTGATGGCTAACCTTTTCTGGACTGAGTGCCCAAAGCGCACATGTGCGCCCCTGAATCTGCGCGTGCCCGAACCCCAAAAATGCAATGCACTCACGGGATCCGCTCATGCGCTCTCCCTGTGCATGCGCACACAGCCCCTGCATGGACCTGTTGTGGTCTGCCAGCAGCCTGCGGAGCTGGCAGCAGAGTTGGACAGTGAGGAGGCTGGGGAGGCCCATGGGCCAGTCCTGGAGGCTGGGGAAGGCCCGGATGAGGGCTCTGAGTCGGAGGCAGAGATGGGGCCAGGGACATCTGGGAGTGATGTGCGGACTCCGGAGCCTCCAGAGGCTGACAGCAGAGAGGCAGAGGAACAGGAGGAGCCTGTTCCTAGTGCCCGCATGCGAAGAGCTGCCAGAAGGCAAGAGCAGCTAAAGCAAAAAGGACGACTCAGGAGTAAGGCCAAGAGATGATTGACCCCTCCCATAAGGCTTAAAAGACCAGCAACAGCTCTTGGGCTCTTTGTCAGAAAACAACATTGATAGATTTGTTTCTTGCCTTGCTGCATGTATTAATAAAACAAAATAAATATTTCTTGTCGGCGTCTTCTTCTGCTCCTGAACTTTTGCCAAGAAAAGCCTTTGGCAGATTGCCAAAGTAGACCAAAGTTGGTGATAAGGCTGAAGAATTGTGTTATGAAGAATTTGTTTTGAATTAATTTGGTCTACGCTGAGAATGAGTCAATTCTCAGCTGTTCTAATAAAGTCTGTTTGTTTAGAACTGATTGCGTCTGATAATACCTACTTGGGCCTGGGTCACAACAGCACCCCCCGTACATGCGTGCGTGCCCCCCGCACGCATCCCGCCCCCTCCCCCCCATGCATCCCACTCCCTGCACATGCATGGCAGAGATGCGAAGACCAGCTAGCCGGTGGGAGATGCAAACTCATGCGCAGCAGAGCTGAACTGGGGCAACGGCTCACGCGCCATCAGAGAGAGTGCTAAGTGCCATCTCTGGCACGCATCCCATAGATTCGCCATCGTGGCCCTAGGAGTCTTGGAACATCCTTTAATGTGTTGAGAGTATCGTAACAAAAATCTGAAAGTCTGCCAAAGCTCCTCTTTACCTCCACTTATCCTTCGCCCAATCAAGGCAGAATGTTCTGAGTCTCTCTCTTAAACTTTGTATTCCCCGCAACTAAGATCCTTTGTTGGGAATGGCTCCATATTTTTTTCAGATGGAGACGCTTGGGGGCTAAACGTTCCCTTGGAAATCAGGAACTTCATCTCGGGGACTTTGTTTCCCTGAGAACTACGGAGCACCGAAAGAGGATGGGTAAAAATCCTCTGCTTTCTCTCCGCAAAGGTTTTAGCCAGACGGCAGACAAATGTTGGGAACTTAAATCTATTTATTTGCATATGTGTTTATTGCATTTTTATCCACTGCATCTGGTAACTTTCAACAACTCACCTATACAGAAAACATGTATAATTCTCTATCTCCTCCCTCCCTCCCTCCCTCCCTCTCTCTCTCTCTCTCTCTCTCTCTATCTATCTATCTATCTATCTATCTATCTATCTCACCGCTCTCTCTCTGCTCTCTATATCCATCCATCCATCCATCCATCCATCCATATCTATCTATCTATCTATCCATCTATCCATCCATCCATCCATCCATCCATCCATCCAGATATCTATCTATCTATCTATCTATCTATCTCACCGCTCTTTCTCTGCTCTCTATATCCATCCATCCATCCATCCATCCATCCATATCTATCTATCCATCCATCCATCCATCCAGCTATCTATCTATCATCTATCTATCTATCTATCTATCTATCTATCTATCTATCTATCTCACCGCTCTCTCTCTGCTCTCTATATCCATCCATATCTATCTATCTATCTATCTATCTATCTATCTATCTATCTATCTATCTATCTCACCGCTCTCTCTGCTCTCTATATCCATCCATCCATATCTATCTATCTATCTATCTATCTATCTATCTATCTATCTATCTATCTATCATCTATCCATCCATCCATCCAGCTATCTATCTATCTAGCTCTATTTCTATCTATCTCTGCTGGCACTTCCCTGAAAGGAAATTGGTTATCCTAAACAAGACCACTAAAGTCAAGGTAAAGGAATAACAGAATAACATAGTTGGAAAGGACGAGGGTCTTCTCGTATACCATTTTAATCAGACTTGCAGGATTCTGTTACTATAGCCAACATCCATAAAGGCAGGGATGGTCTTGATTTCTTGGTTTGGCCAACATAGTGCGGAGGCCTACAGATTTCCTCTTTGAATACACCCCCCTCTTATACACATGTGAAGTAAAGAGGTGTCTGCTTTAGTGTTTTGCAAATGCCTGCTGCTTGTTTTTGACTTAAATCATGTTTTAACCCCTTGTTAATTTGGTAAGAGATTTGGATATCTCTATCAAGGATATCTTGGTTACTCTCTACATAGGTGAGACTGAAGCAGTTACTCTCTGTCTTACAATCTACCTCACAAAATTATCCTCCAGCACGTCTACCTGTCTTTGCTAGCAATAAACCTCATATACACCTCATTGAGATCCTGGAGCAAAGATGAGATGCAAATGGAATACCCATTTAAAATGCAGGCAATTAATAAGCTAAGTCGATAGAAAGAGGTTGGACTAAAGAGCTGTCTCTGAAGTCCTTTGGAGTTTTGTTTTGCTTTTTTTAAGAACTTTTGCTATTATCTGTTGATTTATGTTGTGTTTTTAAAAGGGATTTTTGCTGACAAATTATTTTAATTTGCTGTTCAGTGGCTTTAAGAGTTTTCTGTTTTAATGGATGTGGGTTTTTAAATGTATTTGCGTAACCGTCTGAGGACTCAAACAAGTGGGGGAAAGCAGATTGATCTTTTTGAAAACATTATTTTAAAAAAGAGGGGGGGGAAGCAGTGGGAAAAATAACTTTGAAGTCCAAAGTGTGCTGCCAAATTTTCTGTCCCTTTGGGAGTGGCATGCTCACAATCAATTCTTCCATCCTTCCCCAGCCTGCCCTTCTTGCTATAACCCAGGTGACTGCAATAAAGACATTAAGGATTTGCGGCAGGTGACCAGGCTAAGCCCGAGGGAGGGGTCAAACGTGTCATAAGTCACAAGTCCCTGTGCACCCACAAGAGATCTAAGTTCAGCCTGCCTTGAATGCCTTTCTTATCTCCCGCTCATTTCTCTTGACTGTTAGTTGGTCAGATTCTTGTAGAGAGCTTAAGGTTGTAATAAATCTTTATACTCATTTGAACTGCCTGGATCTCTTGATTTCCCTAGTGCTTGTCATATCTCTCATCTATCTCTCATCCATCCATCCATCTATTGTAGGAGATGAACAGGCTGAGCCTGAGGGAGGGGTCAAACATGTCATAAGTCACGAATCCCTGTGCACCCACAAGAGAACTAAGTCCAGCCCATCTTGAATGCTTTTCTTATCTCCGGCTCATTTCTCTTGACTGTTAGTTGGTCAGATTCTTGTAGAGAGCTTAAGGTTGTAATAAATCTTTATACTCATTTGAACTGCCTGGATCTCTTGATTTCCCCAGTGCTTGACATCTCTCTCGCTTGTTCTCTCTCTCTCATCTATCTCTCATCCATCCATCTGTCCATCCATCTATTGTAGATGACCGGGCCGAGCCTGAGGGAGGGGTCAAACATGTCATAAGTCATGAGTCCCTGTGGACCCACAAGAGCTCTAAATCCAGCCCTCCTTGAATGCCTTTCTTATCTCCCGCTCATTTCCCTTGACCGCTAGTTGGCCAGATTCTTGTAAGGAGCTTGCTATAAATCTTTATGCTCATTTGAACTGCCTGAATCTCCTGTTTTCCCTGGCGCTTGACATGCTTAGTGCAAACTGGCAGGTCATTCACTTGGGTATTAGAGTCCTGATGCCCAAACTCAAAGAATTGAGAAGAAGTAAAACGGGATCCTTGGAGATACTAAGGTAAATAAAGATAGACACTCAATGAAGTGGTGTGAAGCTTCTAGCAATTAGGAGTAAAACCAAGGAAGGATGTCTATTCCAAAGGAAATGAAATCTGCAAGAGGAAAGATGGTTGATATTTTTGGTTGATACTTTTTTCAGCTGGATTTCCCTTGGTGGGCATCACAAGAACTTCCACAATCGGACCAAGACATCCATCATCGTAAGCGCTGTCCTTGTAAACCCTCTTGGAGAATTTATTTTTTTTCCCTAGAGAAATCTGGTTGATTTCCTCCAATTTCTCCATTCCCGAAGCAAACTGTGGCAAGCTCCAGCAGCAACTTCAGACGTTAGGATGCATTGCAAAAATTGGACGGGGGTACGGCACGAACTGCCTCCAATCTAAAAATTCCAATTAGCCTGGGAAATTGAGTTGGCTTGATTTTCTAAATTGATTGGAGGAGGGGAGGGGTCAAAGGAGGTTTCTAATTCAAAAAATGTGGAAACGTGGCTATTTCAAAGTGCATCACGTAATGCTAAGTTGGCACTTTCCCGCTTTCCATACGTACCGTACCGTTACTCGGATTGTGCAAGAATCCGATTTAGAAACTCCATCAATTTTCTCCACTATCTCTGCACAACTTGATAAGCAGGTATGCACAGGGCTTAAAGTTATAGAACTAACTTTGAGTTGGCCCCTTATTCCAGCTCTCTGAGTTACAGAAGTAAACATAGTGTGAAGACACATATTATTTTGTACAGTCACAGTTGTGGTGACTAGAAACAATGGAAATAGTGTTAAAGGTAAAGGTTCCCCTCGCACATATGTGCTAGTGATTCCCGACTCTAGGGGGCGGGACTCATCTCCTTTTCAAAGCCGAAGAGCCTGAAGACGTCTCTTTGGTCATGTGGCCGGCATGACTTAAACACCAAAGGTACACCGAATGCTGTTCCCTTCCCACCAAAGGTGGTCCCTGTTTTTCTACTTGCATTTTTTATGTGCTTTCGAACTGCTAGGTTGGTGGAAGCTGGGACAAGTAACAGGAGCTCACCCCGTTACGCGGCACCAGGGATTCGAACCGCCGAACTGCCGACCTTTCGATCGACAAGATCAGCATCTTAGCCACTGAGCCACCATGACCCTATGGAAATAGTGTTAGAGGATGCTTAATCAGGAAGTGAGAGAAATATCTTCTATGCATAGGTAAAGATAAAGGTTTCCCTGTCCAGTTGTCTCTTACTCTCATCTCCATTTCTTGGCCGAGGAAGCCAGCGTTGTCCGAAGACACTTTCTGCAGTCACATGGCCAGCATGACTATACACCAAAAGTACATGGAAGCTATTACCTTCCCATCAAAGTGGTACCTGTTTATCTACTCACATTTGCATGCTTTCAAACAGCTAGATTGGCATTAGCTGGAGCAAAGAACAGGAGCTCACCCCATCACACAGCACTGGGGTCTTGAACCTGGACAAGCTCAACATCTTTAACCGCTGAGCCATCACGCCTCCAATATTTTCTAGGCAGATCCAACATCTTCTAGGCAACTATGCTTAAGCAATGGAAAAATTCTGATTGGTAAACTATTTGTCTTTCCCTCTGTATTTTGACAATAAGTAGTCCTCAAATTACAACCATCCATTTGCAATGCAGGCCTCATTCCATCACAGTGTTCTATCCACCCAGAGGAGTAAATGAACAGGCACCCCTTCCTTTCAAGTTCTTTAAAAACTCCTCTCATTAAATCCATTGCCTAGGGAGGCCAAACAGACAGAGAAGTAGATTTTAATTACAAAGGTCAAGAAGGAGAAGAAGCGGCACAGAGTTTGCAAATACATTCGTTTTGACTTTTGCGAATGAAATTGGTGCTATAAATATTGACTCTTCCTCATCCCATCCCAAATATTTCTCATGCTCTGGGTATAGGGTGGGCCGTTGACAGAGGTGGGATTCAGCCGGTTCTGTCCGGTTCGGGAAAAACCGGTAGGGGCCGGTTTTATGTCATTGTTTTCCTGGCTTTTTTAATTCTTTTCATGGCTCAATTGTTTGTTGCAAACCACCCAAAAGTTGTGTTCCAAAGAGGGCTGCTGTTACCAGTCCATCGAATAAAGAAAAGACTTTGGGGGTAAATAGGAGCATTTCAGAAGATCACATAAAACTATTCCATAGCAAAATATTGGTTTGTTTCTTATCTCTAATTCCAAGCCACCACTTGACATTTTAGTAGCTCAGCCATTGCAAAGCAAACGGGTCAGCTTAAGTACTTACTTTTGCTCGGAAGTCAAGGATACTCAAGTGAACCAATTCAGTCTAGAAGTGTGAAGATTATTCGAGTTAATTACAGGCTCTCCTAGGCTGGGCTGCACGTTCTGAATTGGATAATCGAGAAAGGAAAAATGACTCCTGATGCAAAATGACCCCAAGTGTGTATTGTGTGTGAGAGAGAAAAAGAGAGGGGAGAGAAAGAGAGAGAGAGAGAGAGAGAGAGGGAGGGAGGGAGGGAGGGAGGGAAGGAGGGAGGAAGAGAGACAAAGAAAGAGAAAGAGAAAGAGAAAGAGAAAGAGAAAGAGAAAGAGAAAGGGAGGGAGGGAGAAAGAGAGAGGGAGAGAGAAAGAGAGAAAGAGAGAGGGAAAGAGAGAAAGAGAGGGAGGGAGAAAGAGGGAGGGAGAGAGAAAGGGAGAGAGAAAAGGAGGGAGGAAGAGAGAGTGAAAGAGAAAGAGAGAGGGAGGGAGGGAGGAAGAGAGACTGAAAGAGAGAGAAAGAAAGAAAGAGAAAGAAAGAGAGAGGGAGGCGGAGGGAGAAAGGGAGAGGGAGAGTGAAAGAGAAAGAGAGAGAAAGGGAGGGAGGAAGGGAGGGAGGAAGAGAGAGAGAGAAAGGGAGGGTGGGAGAAAGAGAGACAGAGAGAGAGAGAGAGAGAAGGAGAGAGAGAGAGAAAGAGAGAGAAAGAGGGAGGGAGAAAGAGAGAAGGAGGGGAGAGAGTGAGAGAAAGAGAGAGAGAAAGAGAGAGAAAGAGAGAGGGAGGGAGGAAGAGAGAGTGAAAGAGAGAAAGAAAGTGAAAGAGAGAGGGAGAAAGAAAGAGAGAGGGGGAGAGAGAGAGATTCTGAACGCTGATCCCAATAGGAAGTTATCACTCAAAGGGGGGGAGGCTGAGCAATCCATCACAAAGAGACCCACCATCTATTATATGCACCACATTACTTGATGTAAGTACATCTCATAATATATTGCCGAGCAATACCAAATGATGTATAAAGATTTGTTGCCGTTTGCTTACAGCGTGGGTATAATTAATCTGCTGTTCCAGCTTTTTTTTTTTTTTTAATTCAGTTCCTCCCCTTCTTGGAATCTTGAGAATTCCCTTGGAATTTGGGGATTCCTCAAACCTGTGCTATGCTCTCCCCAAGGCAGGAATGCCAAAAAATATCCCACCCCCCCAAAAAAGAATAACCCAAAGTGAAAACAATACTGAAGCTGAGCAGAGTAATTGAAAGGATTCTCCTAAACCAGATGGGAAGCTAAGAATGGAAGGACAGGCAATGAGATGGAACTTCTCAACTGGACCTCCTTGTAATGGACCTCTGACTTTGGCAGGTTAGATCTTCATGGTCACCAGATCACCATGGTATCTGACTGTTTGAATCAGATACCATTGTTTATTCTGATGGACAAGTATTCTCTTTGGAATCTTCTTTGGGCATGTGACTGCAGAGGAGGCCTAACCATCAGAACTTCAGCTGCGGTTCATAAGTCTCCTTTTGCAGGTTGGTTCAGGGGTGAAATCCAGCAGGTTCTGACAGGTTCTGGAGAACTGGTAGCAGAAATTTTGAGTAGTTTGGAGAACCGGTAGCAGAAACTTTGAGCAGTTTGGAGAACCGGTAGTGGAAATTTTGAGCAGTTTGGAGAACCGGTAGCAGAAATTTTGAGTAGTTTGGAGAACTGGTAGTGCAAATTTTGAGTAGTTTGGAGAACCGGTAGCAGAAATTTTGAGCAGTTCAGAGAACCGGTAGCAGAAATTTTGAGCAGTTTGGAGAATTGGCAAATACCACCTCTGGCTGGCCCCAGAGTAGGGTGGGAATTGAGATATTGCAATATCCTTCCCCCAGGAGTGGGGAGGGAATGGGGATTTTGCAGTATCCTTCCCCCAGGAGTGGGGTGGGAATGGAGATTTTGCAGTATCCTTCCCCTGCCATGCCCACCAAGCCACGCCCATCAAGCCACACCATCCCCACCAACCCACGCCCACAGAACTGGTAGTAAATATTTTGGATTTCACCACAGGGTTTGTCGTAACCCTGAACTGTCGCTAAGCAACCGGTTGTAAGTCGAGAATTGCCTGCATGATCCTCTGTGTGTGTGTTTTTGTGTGTGTACCTGCACTCATGTTTGGGGGGGAAAAACCCTGCTAACAGATGACCGTGGTGGAATTTCTATCTCCATGGTTGCAAACTGAATAGAGTGTGGCCAGCTCCTTTTGCAGGTAAACGCAAAATTGTTCTCCAACGAATCGGTTTCTGTTAATTACCCTTCGTTCCAGTTGAGATTTCTTAATGAGATCATCCTGTCAGAGCATCCTTTCGGAAAAAGAACCAGGCGGATTGGGGGAGGCGGGGTGTTATTATTTTTAATTCAAACGGGAGGAAGAACTAAGGTGTCTCATCTCTGCTAAAAGCTGTTAAGCAGAACTGAGCAACCTGTAACAGCTTCGGGACGGCTGATAAATGAACAGGTGTGAGACTGAGCAGGAAGGAGGGAAGCTGTTCCCTTTGGCTGGAATCTCAACGTTGTCGTTTTAATTCCGCAGGAAAGCGTGCAGGGCTGCCAAACACAGCTCCATCTTTTCCAAACTGTAAGTCAGCCAACCCTGTTTTGACATCTACCAGCTGTGTAAGGACCGCTGGCGAAAGGCTGGACGGTTGGCCTGCTGGGTTTCCAAGCAGTCTTTATCAACTTTTGGCAAGTGGAAGAAGGGTGGACTTCAACTCCCAGAATTCCCCAGCCAGCCATTGGCACCGTTTTAGGGATGATCAAAAAACATTTCAGACCACCAAGTGTTGGCTGCATAGAACGGCGAATTTGGGGCCAATCGGTGGACAGACAGAAAACACAAATTGATCTGGATGTCAACAAAAATGTAGATTTGGATCAGAAGTAAGAAGAGAGGGTTGGCAGGAAACAGGATATTACCAGCAGTAGCCAATAAGGAGAAATAAGGAAGAAGCTGCAAAGATCAGCTGATGGAGCAACACGCCACCCATGGAGAGAGAAGAAGAGAAAGAGGGAATGTCCACCGGTTTGATTCTGTTCTGACCTAGGCTTCCCCAGCAGCACAAAGCCAAGTCCTTGTCCGATAAACCCCTTTTATTTAATTTACAGTGAATTCCTCTCCAGTAGAATCTTTCCTCTCCCACAGTCTTTCAAGATAGTTCACAATTACCGACCTTTATCAGGCTTGGAGAGTGGCCAGGCCGATATCTTTCAGACCCCGCAATACTTGGCAAGAACGAATTGTCTCCTGCAAACTCCACTCCCCTTTCGCTCCTCTTTTATTCCCTCTGGGAGGGGCCCTTCATTGTCCACCTGTGGCCTTACTCCCGAGTCGACCCTTGTTCTTTAGCTGTTCCCTTCATCTGGCAACCCTGCTCATGCGCACACTGGGAACAGGATCCAGTTGTTCGTCTGCCTCACTGATGTCTGACTCCAAAGGCAACTGATAACTGTCAGACTGCCCTGACCCCCTCTATGCCTCCAACACAAAGCCCTCATAAGAGCCCTCCCCAGACTCCAGGACTGGCCCATGTTCCTCCCCAACCTCCTCACTGTCCGAATCTGTTGCCAGATCCGCTGGCCGCTGGTGGACCACAACATTGTCCCCCAGTTTGATTCTTTTCATTTTAAGAGAGAGAGAGATGAGCAGCTGTGCCAAAACAGCCCCATCATTCTCGTCGCTGTGATGCTCAAACTTTTGAAGGTCTCCAAATGCAACACCTTGAAGTATAATCAAATTTAGAGATCCCCTTCTGTGCTTCCCTCCTTTTCATCTGCACCCCACCTTTGGTTTCCGTGGAGAAATGTTTCCAACATATTCTGCTCCTGCAGATAAGCCTTTGGCAAATACTAAACATTGCTTAAGTATCCCTGCTGGATACTCAGGTGTTAAAAGCCTCACGTGGGACCTTCTAACAAGCAGCAATCTTGGAGGAACACAATCTCCTGCGGTTGTGGGTTCTCGTCTGAAGGGGACCTTGGGAGAGGGAGCAATGGTTGATTCAGCAGTCATGGAACTAATCCCAAGAAATGCTGTTAGAAAGATGAAGACGAGACAGAGGAGATAGTCACAGATCCAATGTTTATTGGTTTATTCCAAGTCATAGAACTTGGAGGTCTTCTAGTCCAATCTTCTGCTCAAGGCAAGAGAATTTATACCATCCCAGACAAATGATTGTCCAATCTTTTCTTGAAAACCTCCAGCGATGAAGCACCCACAACTCCAGGAGGCAAGCTTTTCCATTGATTAATTGTTTTCACAGTCAGGAAATTCCTCCTTATTTCTCCCTCTTCCATTCATTGCTTCTCCTCCTGCCCTCAGGAGCTAAGAAGAATAAATCTAACTTTGGCTGGTGGCATCATTGAAGGTGACAAACACTGGCATCTGCTTAACATAGAATGCAATTCTTTTTCCAAGCTCAATTCTCATGATCACTTTAGCTGGATTTATTATGGGAAAACGGATGAGGTTAACAAGAACTCTGGCAAATATATTATATCTTACACAATAAAATAAATACGAGACCTTAGAATGAGGAGGCAATAGAGCAATTGAAGCAACGATGGGACTTCATGCCTGCCCTTGTAGGGAGAATGGACCAGAATGCAAGATCTCAAGGTGTCTATGGAGATTCTCAACCATCCAGGTCATGATTGTCCCCAAGATGCTTTACCAAAAGACAACTGGCTTTTCTTGGGAGGTTTTCTTCTGAAATTGAAGAAGCTTCTTGGATGAGAAGCAAAATGTTTTCAAATGAACGTTGGAGAAACATCCTTTTGGGTTCAGTTCCAAGTGGGGAAAAAAGACAATGGATTCATGGAAGTTGCTTGGAAAGAAGGTTTATGGATGAACAGGATCACTGCCTTGAAGTCCTGGGCAGAAAAGGGCAGAGATGCTGAGAGTGCCTGAGTTTTATGCCTTCTGTTAGGCTTTTGACCTTGATCTTGTATTCTGATTGGTGTCAGACTCCCATGGGGCCATGCAGGGGCACCTCTGTTGGCTGTCCTGAGTCCCAAGCTTGGTTGACTCTTGCTGGATGATGATGTAATGAAGGGCCATTGGGCAATTCTTATTATGGCTCTGCTTGAAGGAAGTAGATCTTCGTTTTATAGAATAGACTGGCCCAGGCCTTAATGGGCCATTGACAAAGGTGGAGGACCTGAGTTTCTGCCTCCCTTCTAGGAGAAATATTCTGCCCTTTTAATATTTCCTAAAGGGACGCGGTGGCTCAGTGGCTAAGACGCTGAGCTTGTCGATCGAAAAGTCGGCAGTTCAGCGGTTTGAATCCCTAGTGCCATGTAATGGGGTGAGCTCCCGTTACTTGTCCCAGCTTCTGCTAACCTAGCAGTTCGAAAGCACGTAAAAAATGCAAGTAGAAAAATAGGGACCACCTTTGGTGGGAAGGGAACAGCGTTCCGTGCGCCTTTGGCGTTGAGTCATGCCGGCCACATGACCACGGAGACGTCTTCGGACAACGCTGGCTCTTCGGCTTTGAAACGGAGATGAGCACCGCCCTCTAGAGTCGGGAACGACTAGCACATATGTGCGAGGGGAACCTTTACCTTTACCTTTAATATTTCCTAAAATATCTCATTTTCCTAGGAGAGAAGTGGGGTGTTAACCTCCGACAGGAAAAACCAAGAAAGTCCAATGGCGTTTTGGAAAAGCACCTCGGGGGACAAGATTTCAAGATCTATGTATGACCCCACATTTACTGAAAGGACCAGCTCAGTTAAAATTAGGGCGATCGCTCCATTTCTCAACAGTAGCTTGTCCTGGGGATGCGTCTGGTTTGGTAGAAAAGGACGATCTTGACGAGGATAAGAAAAATCCAGGCTTATCCTCAGGAATTGACTTGTCTCACCTGAGCTCACCTGTGAGACCCCAACAGACACCTTCTCTCTGTTCTTCTGGTCAAATAGAAGATGTTTGCCCAAATTAAAAGGCTGATTAGGTAGCTCAGTGGCTAAGATGCTGAGCTTGTTGATCAGAAAGGTCAGTGGTTCAGCGGTTCGAATCCCTAGCGCAGGTCTCCTGCGTGACCAGGGGGCTGGACTAGATGACCTCCAAGGCCCCTTCCAACTCTGTGTCGGTTAAAACCCGAATCCGTTTCCTCCAGAGTTCAAGTTTGAGCGAAGAGTCTTTCTGAAGTGTTGTCTCAGCAGAGGGAAAGAAAGGAAGAAAGAGTTATTAGCAATAGCAATCGGGATCTGTTTCCCTAATTAGAGCATTGCGGATCCCGGGTGAGAGAAGAGGCCTAACCTCTCATTAATCTTGCAAATGTAAAGGGGGTGAGTCAGCCAACAGTTTTATCTTTAATAAAAGGTCAGGGTGTGACCCATCGAAGCCGGGTTTTAATGACTTCGGAAGGGTGAGCAACGGAGAAGTTAAAGTGTTTTCTCCTTCAGACAATCCATTCAGCTGTAACAGTGATGGCTAACCTTTTTGCCGTCACGTGCCAAAAGCGGGGGTAGCGCGGGGGGTGTCCACACCCATAATTCAATGTGCCACATCCCCCACGCATGCACATGCGACACCCCCCCCCCCCCTCCCCCCCCCGCCCGCTTTTGGCATACGATGGCCCAGTGGGCCCAATAGGGCCGTTTTTCACCCTCCCCAGGCTCCACAAGCTTTCTTGGAGCCTGGGAGGGTGAAAATGGCCTCCCCCCCCCACCAGAGGCCCTCCGGAAGCCGGAAACGGCCTATTTCCTGACTTCCGGTGGGACTGGAAGGCCCGTTTTTTCACCCTCCCCAGGCTCCAGAGCTTTTCTAGGAGCCTGGGGAGGACAAAAATGGCCTTCCTCACCCCCCCATCCCCCCCCTCCCGGAGGCCCTCCAGAAGCCGGAAACAACCCATTTCCTGACTTCCGGTGTGCCCAGAAGGCCCGAAAATCAGCTGCATACAACCAGAGCTGAGCTAATGGTAATGCTCGCGTGCCCACAGATATGGCTCCGTGTGCCATATCTGGCACGTTCGCCATCACGGAGCTATAAAAAAAAAACGTTGAAAAAAATTTTGATCACGTGATTGTGGGGAATGCTGCAATGGTCATAAGTGCCATTGTAACTTTGAACGGTCGCTAAACAAATGCTTGTAAGTCAAGGACCCTCTGTAAATAACAACAGGTTGCCGAGTTTAAAATGTGTTGCATGTACCTCTCCTCTTCTTGTACAAAGCTGCAATTTTTTTCCCCTTTTTTAATTCTTTTCAAAGCCTTTCAAAAGACCTTTTTTTACAAAAAAAAATAATAAAAAATTCTGTTACGCAGAGAAGCCACCCCTTCCATCATCCTTAAAAATGGCCCCGGTTTTGCATCCCAGCCCTGCGAGAGTTTCGGCATTTTTATCCCCCTCCCTTTGGGGGGAAAAAAAGCATCCGATTGCAATCTCTTTCCCATCAAGTTGAATGAGAGCCGTCGGAAGGAAAGCACAAGAGACGTTTGAGGCATTATGTAAAAACGCGGGACTCAAACGAGGAGGAAGTGCCTCCACTTATAATACTGGGGGTTTTTCCGCCTGGAGGGTCTTGCATTAAAACGATCTGAAATCGTCTGGCCGTTTAGCACGGCTCCTTCGCTCTAATTTTCCTCTGACAAATCTCAGGGCAGCCGAAGAAGTGAAGCTGATGCATGTTGCTCGGCTGAGGGGCAATTTCTTTTGATCGGCGGCTCCTTCAGAAAGCTCTGCAGGCTGGCATGATAGTGAAGGTGGAGGATCGTTCGCCGAGCTTCTGGGTTGGTGGTTTCTGAACGTTTCACTACCAGGCTGGGTAACAAGTTCAGGGGAGTTTAAGGGGAGGTCAGTCTTGGTGGTGTTCTGCTTATAAGGGCTTTGTGTGGTCAATGGGTCTTGTGATGGGGAGGTCACATCAGGTGAGGGTCGGGTGTGGGTTGGGTCAATGAGGGTCATGAGGAGTCTTGCAAAGGGTCAGGTGTGGACCACCAGTGAAGTTCTTGTGATGGGTTCTTGTGATGGGTCAGGTGTGGACCACCAGTGAAGTTCTTGTGATGGGTTCTTGTGATGGGTCAGGTGTGGGTTGGGTCAATGAGGGTCTTATAATGGATCAGAACCATCAGAAGTTACAGCGGCACCAAAAAAAAACCATGACTTACAACCGCTCCTCGCACTTGCGACCGTCATAGCAACCTCATCTCATATGATCAAAATTCAGTCCCTTGCCAGCCTGCCTGTATTGACGATGGTTGCAGCATCCCTTGAGGTCATGTGATTACCCTTTGGGATCTTCCCAGCCAGTTTCTTACTAGCAACGTCCATACAGGAAGCCAGTTTCACTTAACAACCGCATGATTCGCCTTAACAACTGCAGCGATTCGGTTAACAGCCATGGCCCCCCCAAAAAAGAAAGGAGTCGGAAAAATCGGGTATCTCATTCAACAACCGCCTTGCTTATAACAGCGGGAATTCTGGCCCCGAGAATTCTGGTCGTTAAGTCGAGGACGTCTTTGATCAGGAATCTTTTTCAGAACCTGTGGGGTGGTGCCCTCACTTAGTCAAATAGATGATCATCAATGGTAAATTTAAAAGGGATCCTTTGTACTTTGGTGCAGTAGGACTGCAGAAAACAAGCAGGAAAGAGACTGAGTTGTGTACTGGGGCGGTGTGGGGGGGGAGGCGAGGAGAGAGAGAGTGCGTGCGCAACTGTTGCCATAGCAACAAGACCCCCTTTCATTCCAGGAAGGTAATACAAATCAGAGTGTGATACGGTGATGGGGTTCTTGTGTTCTGGGAAATATCGTTGAGCGTTGTGTGTATTAGTGAAAATAATGTGCAAATGGCCTGCTGAAAAACAGCATCTATATTTCACGTTAAGAACGCGCTTGCACACACGTAGGGATTTCTGCACCGGCGTTAGAAGCAGGACGTTTGCAAACGGATATTAGAAATGAACCCTTAAAAGGGTAGAAAAACGTGATAAATTTCTCCTTTGGGAACAAGGTAACTCAGCTGAACTCTTCGCGCTGAAAGGCTCACCTGAAAAGTTGGAGTGGTTTCCTTGATGTTGGCTTGGTGTTTTTGCATGAACCCATCCACTGTTAATTAATCTGTTTATGGTTTAAGGCTTCTTCCCGGAGCCACGGTTAAAATGAACCATGGCTTAGCTCAGCTGAAACCTCTAGTTCTGATGGTCTGTGAGAATGGCCTTGGGAGACAGGAGGGAGATCTACGGACTAGTCAATGCTCAGATAAGAGGTCGCTAAGCCCACAGAGGAAATATGGGTCTGGCAAATATCTCAGAAAGAGCGTTCCCTAGTTTCTTGGGCTGGGGGGGGTGAAAAGGGGTACTTTCAGATTTGATGCTGTTAATGTAGCTTTACAATAAAGTAGAATTAGTCCATCTGGTTGTATTTCCTGTCTGGACAACCTGCTACGAGGAATTAGGAGGAAGAGCTGTAGACTAGGCAGTGGGTCAGATAAGAGGCAACTGAGCCACGAGAAGAAAAAGGGACATGGTAAATATCTCAGTAAATAAAGTAAATATCTCAGTAAATATCTCAGGGATGCGGTGGCTCAGTGGCTAAGATTTTCAAACTTTCCTGCCTGAATTATCTTTCCTAGGCCCGCGAGTTAAATCATTCTCTTTTTGCCGCACAGTTTCTGAAATCTGTGAGTTCGCTTGCGAGTCCCTAAAAGCTCTCCTGTGCAGCGATGTGAAAACTGACAAGCTTTCACTGCTTCCTTGCGAGTTGAACACACGCCCGATGTATCTCCTTCTATTTGGCGCGCATCTCCCCAAGGCAACACGGGCCAGCCTTCCCCCTCCGATGCCTGGGTAATTACCAGGAAAAAGACAGAACTCTCCCGAGTGCCTCCATCGCTTTGCTATATGAACTCGATCTTCGGGCCGCAAGATGAGAACTCCCCATTTGCATTTCAGGGCAATTATTGCCCTTTGAAGCCGGGGAGGTCAAGGCAAGTCTTGAGCAGAAAATGTTTTATGCAACCTTTCCCAGCATGCGAATTTCAGCCCGTCATCCAAGTGCTAAATTGTCTCCTTCTCGTCTCTGACAAACAGCCAAGAGGCTTCCTCCATTCCACATACAAGAGTGTTCTTTTTGCCTCCTATTGGGAGATACAGAACAGAATAACAGAGCTGGAAGGGACCCTGGAGGTCTTCTAGTCCAACCCCCTGCTTAGGAAGGAAAGCCTACACCACTTCAGACAAATGGTTATGCAACATCTTCTTTAAACTTCCAATGTTGGAGGATTCGCAACTTCTGAAGGCAAGTTGTTCCACTGATTCATTGTTCTCACTGTCAGGAAATTTCACAGATCACATGCACAGATGACCAATGATGACGTCATGCCGGATGAGCGAAGCCTCCTGCCGGTTTTACTACCAGTTCTATAGAACCGGACAGAACCGGGAGCAAGCCACCACTGCTTCACTCACTTCCCTGGCTGTTTTTGTGCCTGCTTGTCCAACAATCTTAGTAGCTGCAAAATTGAATGTATAAGGATTCCTGCCATGGGCAGAGGGTTGGACTGGAAGACATCCAAGGTCCCTTCCAGCTCTATGATCCAATCATATCTGCATAACTCCAGGTGGTGACCAAACGATCCATCTAGATTTTCTAAGCAAGCCCACCAACATAATTCCCTGAAGGGTTAATTCCCGTTTGCCAAAGATTTAAGGGAGATCTGATAGCAGTCTTCCAATACTTAAAGGGAATACAAGGAAGAGGACATCAATTTATTCTCCAAAACACCTGGAGGCAGGAGAAGAAGCAATGGGTGGAAGCTCCTCAAAGGGAGATCCAGCTTGGAAATAAGGAGAAATTCCTGACAGTGAAAACAATTAATCAATGGAATAACTTGTCTCCTGGAGTTTTGGGTGCTCCATCACTGGAGATTGTCAAGAAAAGATTGGACAACCATTTGTCCAGAATGGTATAAGATCTCCTGCCTTGGGCAGAGGGTTGGATTAGAAGACCTCCAAGATCCCTTCTAACCCTAGGATTCCATTAAATAGATGGCTGGATGGTTGGATGGATGGATGGATGGATGGATGGATGGATGGATGGATGGATGAATGAATGAATGAATGTCCCGAAGTTGTGGTGCCCCATCACTGGAGATTGTCAAGAAAAGATTGGACAACATTTGTCCAGAATGGTATAAGATTCTCCTGCCTTGGTCAAGGGGTTGGACTGGAAGATCTCCTCCAGCCCTGTGATTCTATGATCTTTTTTTTTTGGTTTCGGCACTGACTTGTTCCCTTCCTCTTTGAAGAACAGGAACTGTCTCCTGCCTGTCCCTAGTTGAAGCAAGTCAACTCTGTGATCCCCCGATTAATGCTCCATGAAGCAGCCGCCACGTCAACCGTCGGGACGAAGCGATGAGGAGGAAAGATGTACGGCATTAATCTGGACTCAGGTCACCTGGAAAGGAAGATTATACATTCGCCGTGGGATTAAGCAGCAGCTGCTGAATCGTAAAGGAAGGGCCCGATAAGCAAATATTAATTCTGGCTGTAATAATAGGGGGAACAGATTACTGAAGGATAAAGCTGCTCGTTCGAACGGCTCCCCTGCTGCAAAAGCCCATCCAGCAGGGAGTCAATATTCACTCCGCTGAGAATGCTACAATTAAGGCTGCAAAGGTTTCCTCTCGGTTTTCCCATGTTTCGAAAAAGATCTGCAGCGTTGCCTTGCAGGAGAATAAATTAACACACACATACCCACCAGTGGTGAAATCCAATTTTTTTTTTTTTTTTGCTACCGGTTCTGTGGGTGTGGCTTGGTGGGCATGGCAGGGGAAGGATACTGCAAAATCCCCATTCCCTCTCCACTCCTGGGGGAAGGATATTGCAAAATCTCTATTCCCACCCCACTCCTGGGGGAAGGATATTGCAATATCCCCATTCCCTCCCCACTCCAGGGGAAGGATATCCTTCTCCCTCTCTCTCCTTCTCTCTCTCCCTCCCTTTTTCTCCCTCTCCCTCCCTCCCTCTCTCTCCCTCTCCCTCCCTCCCTCTCTCTCCCTCTCCCTCCCCTCTCCCTCTCTCTCCTTCTCTCTCCTCTCTCTCCCTCTCCCTCCTTCCCTTTCTCTCCTTTTTCTCTCTCTCTCCCTCCTCTCTCTCTCCCTCCCCCCTCTCTCTCTCCTCCCTCCCTCTCTCTCTCTCAGATCTTGGTAGATCTGTAGCTGGACTGTCTCAATCCTGACACCTACTGGTCCATCCCTGAATTCTGCAAAGGAAGAAAACAACGCATCCCCAGGTCGCCAGGAGACTTAGGGAGGAAAGACGGGGGAAAAAACAAAATCCTTTCCTCCAATCCGCAGTCAGGAAACCTCTGAAAGTCTCCGTTTGATGCAAATGAGCAAGAATAGGAAGAAAAGCATCTACGGGGGGTCTGTCTCCTTATTGGACAGGTATCCCTGCAGATGGCCCTGATTGGTGATCTTTGAGGAGTCCCAATGGGCTGATGATTAAATACGATGCTATTTCAACTTCTCTTTTTTCACACACAAAAAAAAGACCCACATGAGCCAAGCTGGCAACAAAATCATCAGAGGGAGGAACGGCAGGAAAATGTTCACCAGGCAATGATGAACAAGCCAAAGAGCTCGTGCTGGTTTGCTGCTATTGGAAAAAGGCATTGATTGCCGATTTGATTGTGTCTGGTGGGTGGAAACATACGTTTAGAAGAGCTGTCTTGCTTGGGGGCAAAAAAAAAAAATCCTTGGGACCAATCTTATGTTTTACAGCAGCATGTATCTAATTACCTTGCTTTTGTGATGGTAAGTAGGGCCCATAAGTGATTGGCCACAGTTCACATAGAATATGTGGACAGAGTTGGAAGGGACCTTGGAGGTCCTCTAGTCCAACCCCCTGCTTAGGCAGGAAACCCTACACCACTTCAGACAAATGGTGATCCAACATCTTCTTAAAAACTTCCAGTGTTGGAGCATTCACAACTTCTGGAGGCCAGTTGTTCCACTGATTAATTGTTCTCACTGTCAGGAATTTTCTCCTTAGTTCTAAGTTGCTTCTCTCCTTGATTAGTTTCCACCCGTTGCTTCTTGTCCTGCCTTCTGGTGCTTTGGAGAATATCTTGACTCCCTCTTCTTTGGGGCAGCCCTGAGATATCAGAACACTGCTATCATGGTCCTTCTTTTCATTAAACTAGACATACCAGTTCCTGCAACCGTTCTTCATATGTTTTATCCTTGAGTCCCCCAATCATCTTTGTTGCTCTTCTCTGCACTCTTTCTAGAGTCTCCACATCTTTTTTACATCGTGGTGACCAAAACTGAATGCAGGATTCCAAGTATGGCCTTACCAAGGCCTTATAAAGTGGTACTTCACGTGATAATATTAATTATCAATCAGATAATCAATCAGATAAACAGTTAATCAATCAGATCCTGATTTACAGGCATAGACCAACATTACTACAGTTAAGTAATGGTGGTTAGTATCATTCATTGAATGGTGCAAAGGTTACTTTCTTTTGGTCCTATCACTTGATGCTGTAGGAAAAGGAGTGGCAGAACTGGGGACAGAGTTAAAAGGAGAGATCAGCCTGGAATCCCTACATAGCCACAAAGGACCTAAATTCACCTCCCTTGAATGTTACAAATGTTAAATGAACAAGGCAGTTGTAAAGGCAGTCGTTAAGCAAATCCGTTGTCCTCAATGGGTGTTGTTTTGCCAGAAACTGGAAGTAAACACAGGTTTCTGGCAAAACAATACCTGTTAACAAAATCATGGGACGTAAATGTAGCCCAATTGATCACATGCATCCAAAATTGATCACACGATCATCATCGGAGCTTTGAACTGAACGATAAGTAGCTCCGGGGAGGTCCATCATAACTTTGAGCAAAGCAACCAGTCATAAGTTGAGGATTGTTTGTATTGCTTTGTTGCTATGGGGCATATGGGGCATATTTGGTCTGGTGGTTAATGCACCAGGCTAGAAACCAGGAGGTGGTGGGTTTCAGTCCCACCTTAGGCATGGAAGCCGGTTGGGTGTCTTTGGGCCAATCACCAGGAGATGGTGAGTTCTAGTCCTGCTTTAGCCATGATAGCCAACTGGGCGACCTTGTCTCAATTGTTCTCTCTCAACCCAACTCCCAAGATTCTTGCTGTGGGGGGAAATAGGAGGAGGAAAGTATGCTGAATACACCATCATGAGTTATTTTTAAAATAATAAAGGCAGGCTACAGATAAATAAATGAGAAGCAGCGTGGCACGATAGGCCTACGGATGGATTCTAACATCCTTTGCGGCTGTCCCATAGCTTTTTCATGAGGCCTGGGAACTTGGATAATAACTCAGTAATGTGTGACAACTTTTGGTTCTGCCAAGCTTCCCCAATTTAATACTTAGCCTCCGTGCTGTGAGAACTGAAACCCTGCCCAGAGGGAATCTCTGGGGCTGGAGAAAGCTGGAATCGAGAATGCAAGATCAAAAAAATACAGATCATCTGTAAAAGTCAGATTTTTAAGCTCCTCCGTCTCTCTGCTTCGGCACCTGCTAGTCAATTAATAGAAAACGACTGTAGTCAGAGGGAGGGCAGCTAATAAAGTCCTATTAATTATTGAATTTAATTTAGTTCTCAAGAAGGGGCCTATCTGGGACACGGCTTCTGCTGGGTTGCAAATGCGGGTCTCCCATCCGCCAGGTAGCTCTGTTTTTTCCTGCACACGGTTTGGCATTCCGAAGCCTAATTCATCTTCATTCAGCACCGAAGCTTATGAAATATTCAAGGCTGTTGCATGTTAACCATTTGCCTATAAATAAGTTATTTCCTTGACTCGGTAGGTTGTTTGCACAGTCCAGCACATTTCAGGGAACTGTTTCCCAGCTCTGCGAAAATGCTTCCTCGTATTCCCTTTTTACCCGTCATGAATGTCTGACACGAGGGGTATTTTGTGATGGAAGGAGAAGGCTCTAAGGCAGTGTCTCTCAACCTTGGTACCTTGAAGATGGGTGGACTTCAACTCCTTAGTTCTAGGTTGCTTCTCTCCTTGAGTAGTTTCCACCCATTGCTTCTTGTCCTGCCTTCAGATGCTTTGGAGAATAGGTTGACCCTTCTCTTCAATAGATTCAGGGACTCTTGATGGTGCAGTATTGGAAGAAGGAAGACTTGCCTACTATTAAAGAATGGACACTAAAAGTCGTGAACTTAGCAGAGATGGCCAAAATTTCAGCGTATTTGAAGGAGGAGGGAAGGAGGGGGAGGAGGGATGGGAAAAATTGTTGTAATACTTGTTAAAACTTTTTAATTAAAAAAAAAATAGATTCAGGGACTGGGTATTTGTGGAGATTTCCAGTCATCCAGGTCGTCATTGTCTCAAAGGTGTTTTTTCAAAAGGCAACTGGACGGGGTTTCTTTCCCTTGAGGAAGAAGAACACAACGTTTCATTTGTCATTCAAGAACCTTCACAACGGATGAAGTTTCCTGGATGAGAAACAAAACGTTTTTGTTCTTCTTCCTAAGAAGAAAAAGAGCCCATTTGAAAAACTTTGAGACATTCAGGGACTGATGTAGGAAAGTCCCCATTTCAAAACTTTAGGATCTGTGGACTGAAGGAATGGAGAAGTCCCACTGAAAGGTAATTGAGATGGTTGCTTTGAACCTCAGTTGAATGGTGTCCTCCTTCAAGTTCTTCTATTTTTTACTCCTGAACCTTAGAAACCTTGAGGAAAGGACTCCACGGGCACTTCTATTCTCGTCTTTTTGGAGTCTAGCAACTACGGGATTTGTAAAACAGAGTCACGTCGCAGACTGGCTAGTAATTGGCACCTCTGGAGCAAACCTGTTTGAGGCCTGTTGCAGCTAATAAATCATGCGGCGCCTGGGGAAAAGCTCTCCCGTGGAGTGGTCAGCAGCTCTCAGCAAGGAGTAGGACCTTTCCTTGTACGAAAAAGGTCACTGCTAAAAAGTTTCCATCACAAGTCTCCCAGAAATAGCGGCGGCCGATAGGCCCAGCACTTGGAAGCACGTACAATATCAAGAGTCAGTCAGGAGCCACCGAGCCAGCTCGTAATTCCCCAGCAAAAGAAGTATTTCTTGAGACTGAACTAATGATGACAAGGCGGTTTGGAAGGAAAACTATTGGTGCAAAGGTGTGTTGCTGGTAGGAACCTGAGATTTTTTAAAAACCCAACCGTAGTAGCCCATAGGTCAGATACTACTCCATTCCCTGTGTCTAACTGAGAATTCAGCAAGGGAAGGTGGCCAGTTCTGAGTCAGATCATCCATAGCTTTGGAATTGTTTTTACTGAGACTTCAGGAATACCCAGAAAAATACGCCATCCTTCACTTAATCCTCCAGGGAAAGATTGAAGGCAAACAAAGGTCCAGGCAGAAGAAGAACATCATGGCTTCAAAAATCTAAGGGACTGATTTGGGAAAAACTCAGCAGCACAAAGAAGAAGAAGAAGAAGAAAGAAGAAGAAGAAGGAGAAGGAGAAGGGAGAAGGAGGAGGAGAAGGAGGAGGAGAAGAAGAAGAAGAAGAAGAAGAAAGAAGAAGAAGGAAGAAGAAGAAGAAGAAGAAGAAGAAGAAGAAAAGAAGAAGAAGAAGAAGAAGAAGAGGAGGAGGAGGAGGAGGAGGAGGAGGAGGAGGAGGAGGAGGAGGAGGAGGAGGAGGAGGAGGAGGAGGAGGAGGAGGAGGCAGGAGGAGGAGCAGGAGCAGGAGAGCAGGAGGAGAAGAAGAAGAGAGAGGA